CATGGTGATCAGTCAAGAAGAAGAAGAAGCATAAGCATAAGCATAAGCATAAGCATAAGCATAAGCAGAAGCAGAAGCAGAAGCAGAAGCAGAAGCAGAAGAAGAAGAAGAAGAAGAAGAAGAAGAAGAAGAAGAAGAAGAAGAAGGCATCCAGATTGGAAAGGAGGAAGTAAAACTCTCATTATTCACAGCTGACATGATATTGCACACAGAAAACCTTAAAGGTTCCCACTAAAAAGGTACTAGACTTAATAAATGAATTCAGCAAAGTAGCGGGATACAAAATTATCCAGAAATCAATGGCATTTTTATACACCAATAATGAGTTCTCTCTCTCTTTCTCTCTCTCTCTCTCTCTCTCTCTCTCTCTCTCTCTCTCTCTCTCTCTCTCTCTCTCTCTGTCTCCCTCAGAAAACTTGAGTTTTGACCCATAAACAAGAGATGATTTCAATAAAACAACAACAACAGCAACAACAACAACAAAACAAATCTTGTAGGTTTTCTTCTCTTCTCTAAATGCGGAATCAAACTGCCTTTTGGACTGGATGACAGAAGATGAAGATATTAGGCAAACACATACATGTATAGCCCATGGACACAGAAAACAGTGTTGTGAAGGACAAGGGAGGGGCAGGCAGGGGTTGGGTAAAGGTGGGTAAAGGGACAGAAAATGGGGACCATCTGTGATAATGTCAAATATAAAAATTATTTTAAAAAAATCAACATGTGATTGTAGAGTTTAGAAAACTAAACATGTCAGATAGACAGGAGGCCTGTTCACGGATGTGGCTCAAGTCAGACACTCAAGAACCTGCTATTTTTGGGGTGATAAGAGTTGGTATCCTGTGTGACAGGCATCTTGTGCTCTGTGGGAACCCTGTCCACCACATCCTGTGAACTTATCTGACGAATGCCACTTTAACACCTGAAAAATAAGTCATCAGAGACTCTGCTGTAACAGCTTCCACTGGGCCCTAGCTGGTGTGACTCAGTGGATACAGCATCAGCCTGTGGATTAAAGAGTCTCAGGTTCAATTCTGGTCAAGGGCACCTGCCCAGGTTTTGGGTTCCATCCCAAGTAGGGGACATGAAAGAGGCAGCCAATCAAAGATTCTCTCTCATTATTGATGTTTCTATATCTCTCTCCCTCTTCCTTCCTCTCTGAAATCAATAAAAACATATTAAAACAATAACTTCCACTGGGAGTTCATGTCTTTTCCTGATGAATGAACAGCACCAACCTAATCCTGCAAAGAAAATTCAAGGTTGTCATCACAAATTCACAAGTCAGGACAGCTCACCTCTTTTCTTTCTTTCTTTCTTTCTTTCTTTCTTTCTTTCTTTCTTTCTTTCTTTCTTTCTTTCTTTCTTTCTTTCTTTCTTTCTTTCTTTCTTTCTTTCTTTCTTTCTTTCTTTCTTTCTTTCTTCCTTCTTTCTTTCTTTCTTTCTTTCAAAAATGATTTTTTTTTCCAGAGAGGAAGAGAGAGGGATATAGAATTAGAAACATCGATGAGAGAGAAACATCAATCAGCTGCTTCCTGCACACCTTCTACTGGGGATGTGCCCACAACCAAGGTTCATGCCCTTGACCAGGATTGAACCTGGGACCCTTTAATCCGCAGTCCGATGTTCTATCCACCGAGCCTAACCGGTTAGGGCTCACCTCCTTTCAAGAGGTCGTACTGACCCAGACCATGTCCAGCCTTGACCAGGAATGTGGGTGTGTATCTGGGAGGTTTATCACAAGACCATGGACCACCAACCATCTCCCCGAATTCTGCCCTTTTTGTATGTTAATCTTGAGAGGTGGTGTGAATTCAGCACTGCGTCGTGGACAGCGCCACCCTCCATCCATTGGGCGCCTAGAAATATCTCTTTCTCATGACCCTTCAATTTCTTACAAAAGGGGCATAGAAATATGAGCATGCGACTTTCATATGGTTTATGTAGAGTCTATTCTCGGTCTAAATTTTCAAAATGGTTTACGTTCACTACAAGTATGTTTCAATCTAATATAGATCTTTTATCCTCTTGGTGTGTTAAGCATGAAGAAGATGAGCAACAAAACAAAAAACAGCTTGTTATAAAAGAAATAGTCCTAGCTGGTTTGGCTCAGTGGATAAAGCTTCGGCGTGCAGACTGAAGGATCCCAGGTTCGATTCCAGTCAAGGGCATGTACCTTGGTTTGGGCACATCCCCAGAGAGGGGGGTGGAGTGCAGGAGGCAGCTGATTGATGTTTCTAACTCTCTCTCTCTCCCTTCCTTTCTGTAAAAAAATCAATAAAATACATTGCCCTAGTTGGTCTGACTCAAGGAATGGAGTGTTGGCCTGCAGACTGAAGGGTCATGAGTTCAATTCAGGTCCAGGAACATGCCTGGGTTGTGAGCTCGGTCCCTGGTTGGAGGCTTGCAGAAGACAGTTGATCCATGGCTTTCTCTCATCATTGATGTTTCTGTCTCTATTTCCTCTCACTTCTTCTCTAAAACCAATAAAACTATTTTAAAAAAAGAAATAAAATTATTAAAAAATCAATATGTGATTGTAGAGTTTAGAAAACTAAATGTGACAGATTAGACATGAAGTAGGCATGAAAGTTCACCGTGTCCCACAGACTCACTGACTGGCACAGCACCACCTGATGGAAAGACCATGATCCCTGCCCCCTCTCACTGCATAGCAAGGGTCTGTCATGATTCAGGTGATTCCACATGAAGAGTCTTCCTTCTGCTCCTTTGGATGCGATGTCTTTAGCTTTCAATTTCTCAAACCGCCACCAGCTCCACCTAAATCTGAAAGGCTGGTTTCCACTGCCCAGTACATTCCTATGCATTCCTTTTGTCTTATAGACAGAATCCCACATCCTTGCATGGGCGGGGTGGGCATGGGGAGGTAGAGCATGCCTAGGACCAGCCACTACCTCACCCTCTCTTACTGTTATCCAGAGACTAGGTTTCTAGGGTTCTCTAGAATGTTCCTTTCTTCAAGAATATTCACAGATAGGGTGAATTTTCACCACATTTGTAGGAGTGGTGTTTGGAACATGGGTCTACAAATGGGGGAAGTGAGACCAAGAGAGGAAGCAGGCTGCTCAAGTGTCCCCCAACCATTCAGGCTGTGGTAGAGCCACAGTAGTTATTTAAAGTGTGTCTCTGTGTGCGTTACTGCCTTGGAACAGGACTCTCATGAATGTGAAATTTTTTCTGAAACCTGAGAGTTCCCCACAGTTAGAAGAGGAGGGTGACATCTGGACTGAAAGGTGCTCTGAAGGGGCAGAAACGACTCAGATGACTGGACCCCAAGACATGGAGAGATCCCGCTGCTCACAGAGACAGAGAGTCAGGTGGAACCTGAGTGAGATGTAGGACCTGCGTCTGATGGCCAGGAGGAGGTGCTGAGCTTCCTATGGGAGGAGATGCACCTTGCACAACCTCCAGGCTACTCCCTCCTTACCTCTGGGCTCACTGTTCTGAGGGCCCTTCGGTGGTCCCAGTCAACAAGGCAGGGGGGGAGGCCACCTTAACACTTCCATGGCAGTAGTCATATCCACCACCTTCCTGAGCTCTAAGGTCCACACCCTCACTTCCGTCTCCAGTTCACACTCCACATAGGCACCTGACCTCATTTCAGAATCTATCCCTTTCTGCTCAAAACCCTTCCATGGTTCTCACTGTCTTCAGGGTGAATCCAGACTCTTCTTTCATGATCATCCAGATGAGATCCTCCAACCTCAGCTCTCACTTCTGCTTCCTTTAACCAGACAGGTGAAAACACACACACACACACACACACACACACACACACACACACACACACACAGACATGCACACACATACACACACACTCACACCATCTACTAGTGAACATGGTTGTGCTCCTTCCCATATGCTTTCTTAGAATTATAGGACTAGGAAGCTCCTTCCCATGCCCACAGCTTAAAGCACAGGGCTAGAAGCAAGACTGATGTTCATTCTTTTCATTTTTCTTCCCTCCACGTGTGTTGTGACTGCTTAGGGCTATGCAAGGATTGTGTGGTAAATCCATGTAAGACATTCATGGAACATGGCTGGAAACACAAGGTTGGCGCTCAGTTACAACTGATGTTATCTTTAATTGACACGCATTTCATTTCTCTGGTTGGTTTGTAATACATGGCCCATACTATCTTCATAACTCAGGCTGAGCACCCCAGTCCACTCCTATGCATTCCTTTTGCCTTATAGACAGAATACCACATCCCTCCATGGGCAGGGTGGGCATGGGGATGTAAAGCATGCCTAGGACCAGCCACCACCTCACTATCTCTTACTGTTTATCCCGAGACTAGGTTTCTAGGGTTCTCTAGAATGTTCCTTTCTTCAAGAATATTCTCACTCCCACCTCTTCGGACTCCACCTCTTCAAATAGCCATCCCCTCAACCACAGTCTAGTCATGGTCCCCAGATGGCCCCACATTTTCTCTCATTTCTCCTTTGTAAGTAAAGTCATTGCAATATTAGCCTTTGAGAGCCCATACTCTGCCAAGAAGAATTCTCAAAATATAGGCGATGGGTCTCCTGGATTGATCACGGATGTATTTCTGGTTCAGGCACAAATACTGGGCAGGTCGTAGGTGATCAATACATATCTGTTTATGAATGGGTCAAAGATCAAAAGTCAATTCTGTGCGTGGGAGGAAATTAGTAACTTCTATTGAGAGGATCGAGTCAGTACAAGGACCTGAGTCCTGGAGAAGGATTTCAGACCCGGCAGAGAGTCCTGGGAGTCAGAAGAGACTCCAGATGTGGGCTGTGCCTCCAGAGGCCCTGGAGTCCTCTTGTGCTCTCATCATGGAAAAAACCAGAGCCAGGCCAGAGAAGGGGCCGTCCCCTGGCTGTGGGTCCCCAGCTGTAAAAACCCGGAAGAGCGGCAGCAGCTCCTGATTCGCCACATCCTGTGCATCTCTGTCCTTCAGGCCCAGACCTCCTCCATCTGCAGAGCGGGAGCCCTCAGAGGAGATGCCATGACGTCCATCCTCTCTGCTCTTCTCTGCCTCGGTTAGTTGTGGACACGGGGAGGGGGAGCAAGAGGGGCAGCTACACCACCTTGTTCATGGGGAACCTCAGGCTCAGGCAGCTACAGTGGACCGAACCATGATGGGAAGGGATTCAGCTCAGACGTCCGGGTGCAAATCTCTCACAAGGTTTCTCTTCCAGGGCTGAGTCTGGACCCAAGGACCCATGTGAAAGCAGGTGAGTCCGCCCCATGCTCCATCCCTCCTCTTTCTTCATCCCTGGGGCTGAGGAGGGAGCCAAGAGGTTCTGGGATTAGTTGATAAAATGAGAGGGTCTTGAGCTGAGCTGGGGATGAGAGTGGGGAAGTTCTTTGTAAAGCAGCCTCTGGTTTCCTTTTAGGGACTCTTCCCAAACCCACCCTCTGGGCTGAGTCAGGCCCTGTGATTCCTTTTGGGAACCCTGTGACCCTCTGGTGCCGGGGGAACCTGAAGGCTCAGGAGTACCGTCTGTATGCAGATGGCAGTTTTCAGCACTTGGACACACAGAAATCACTGGAGTCTGGAGACCCAGCTAAGTTCCTCATTAAAGAAAACTATGCACACAGATATACTTGTACCTACCTCAGCCACACAAGCTGGTCAGGGCACAGTGACCCCCTGCAGCTGGTGGTGACAGGTGAGAGGACACTCAGGGTTCCCAGCCTCAGGCCCTGCCCTCAGGAAGGGGGTCTGCTCTCACGGTGTTTCCCTCTCACAGCTCAGCCCTGGAGGATATGAGCGAGGTATGAGCCCCATTTAATACGCTGCTCCTCCTCTCCTAGGATTCTACAGCAAACCTAACCTCTGGGCTCTGCCCAGCCCTGTCGTGCCCTCAGGAGGAAATGTGACCCTCCAATGTGGCTCAGAGGAGTCATTTGACAGGTTCTTTCTGACTAAGGAAGGTGATCACAGGCTCTCCTGGGCCCTGGATTCACAGCAACAGCCCAGTGGACAGTACCAGGCCCTGTTCACTGTGGGCCCTGTGATCCCTGGCCACAGATGGACGTTCAGATGCTATGGCAATTTTGAGAAGTATCCCCATGATTGGTCTAAACCTAGTGACCCCCTGGATCTAACGGTCTCAGGTGAGGAGCCCCTGATCCCAGCCTCTGTGAGCACAAACAGCTGAGGGTCCCTCCCCCAGGAGACATCTGAGCTGGGGTGAGAGTGAGGGGTCTGAGTGTTGGTCACCCAGCAGAGATCTGCCCTCAGAGACACTCTCACCTTTGCTGACCCTCCCACCCCCATTAACTGGGTTGGGAAGATGTTAAGTGGGCAGCGGGAGTGTCTTTGGGAGTCACAGAGCAGATGGAGGAGAAGTGACTGAGTGATTTACAGATTCCAAAGTGAGCCCCAGCCTCACCCCTTTCTATTTGCATTTCCAGGATCCTCTGAAGGCCCAAGCCCCCCACCCACACGGCCCCCCTCCACAGCTGGTGAGTCCAGGGAGCTGTGTCCAGAGAGAGCACAGCTTCCCCCCCTCCCCCCGCCCCTTCTCATGCAGCAATCCTGAGAGTCTGTCAGGAGAGTGCGTGACCCAGATCCTCAAGGACAGGCATTTGACCTGGTGGGGGCTGAGAGTCCCAGGCTCTGAGGCAGGTGGTGAGTCATGGCAGAGGGAGATGTGGGGGCGCAGGCTGGAGAGGAGCAGCTGGGCTCATGTGGGGATATGATAGCCTCCCCCCCGCCCCCCGCCCCGTCTGGTCCTGAACCCAGGAGGCCCCGAGGATCGGTCTCTCCCACCCACAGAGTCAGGCACACAGACGGGTAAGTGAGTAGCTCTGTGGGGAGGTGGTTGGAGCCTTCTCGGGGACAGCGACTGAGCCATGTGGGGGTTCAGGCCCCTATGATATCTCTCACTTGGACACGCCCTTCCCCTGTCAGGGCCTCAGTGTCTCCAGGTGTAAAAGGAGAGAACCTTTGTCCAGAGCTTAGATTTCCTGTTGGTTCTGGTCCTGACCTCTTGGGAGATGGCTTCACAGGAAAGCCCCCAGGAAGTGATATTATGGACCTGTCACATCTGTCTCAGTGATGATGACACGGTACAGGGAGGGACAGGAAGGACAAGGGTTCGAGAACCCGATCCTCAGCTCAGACTCAGCTCAGAGGAGGAAACAGGGTGGATCAGCCCTGGTTTAGCTCCTGGCTCTGCTGCTCCTGCTGAGGGGCTGGGCAGTTTTTTCTCTGCTCTGAGTATTGGGTTCCTATCTGCTCATCCCTGGTCCCATCCTGCTCACAGGCTGCTTGGAGATGAGGTGACATAAGGGCCTCACAGAGCTCAGGAAGGCAGAGCCCCCAGCCCAGCCCGATCTTCCCAAGGGGGAGTCAGGACCCTGATGTGGGGAGATGGACCGGGAAATACTGAGTCCACCCCTCACCCTGCCCCTCCTGTCCCTGCTGTGCTGGGGGTGGGTAATGAGGAAGGACATGGACAGGCTCCTGCAGAGCAGGAGCCAGAGCATGAAGCTGGTGTCCCCCTGTGGGGCAGTGTGAGGACAGCCCAGGGAACCCAACCCTGTGGGTTCCAGTCCCAGCCTTGCTCCGTCCAGGCTGGGTGACCTGGGGCACGTGGTTCACCTCTCTGAGCCTCAGTGAGGTGGGTGTGGGGTCAGCAATCCCTGGTGCATGACTGCTATGAGGTGAGAGGAGATGAGTGACAGGTTCCAGCATGGGCCTCACACACAGTAGGTGCTCATTCAATGGAATCCATCACTGGTTCATTCATGACCTCACTCATGTCCAAGGTCCCAAATGGAACATGAACATCCTGATCGGGGTCTCAGTGGCCCTGGTCCTGGTGCTCTCTCTCCTTCTTTTCTACCTCCGACACCGGTGTCAGAGCAAAGGCAGGAACACAGGTGAGTAGGGAACGGGGTGACCTGGGTCACACAACAGGGTTCTTAGGGCACCTGCCCCAGGAAACCAAATGGGTGGAGAAGTTCAGCTGAGAAAATACTTCTCCAGAATATGAAAAAAAAAAAAAACCTAGAAAGAGTGTGAGCACAGACATTCAGTCTCATGAAATATGCACACAAGTGAGTGTTAAGGTTTCCTTCTTTTCAGTGGAATCCCCGGGGGAGGGGCTCCTAACCTCCCAGGGCTGAGACAGACCCTATGAATCTGCTGGGGTCCAGAGAGGGGCTCATGTCCAACCTCCTGCAGGGGACCACAAACCCAGAGGCCACGGACAGATCATGTAATTCCTGCCCCAAAGACCCTAGAACTCCACCATCCATGGCCCATCTCTGCCCCTAAAACTGCTGTCTCCTCTCCCAGCTGCAGCCCAGCTGCTGACACCCAGCAGGAGCCCCTCTGTGAGAGGAAGAGACAGCTGCCCTGGAGAAGGGGGCACAGGGATTTCAGGAGGCAATGGGGAGGGTTAGGCTGGGAGACTGGGGGTCAGGGTGAGAAGGACTGAGACTCACACTGTGTGACCTGGTGCCTCACCTCACCCTGGGTTAATGGCCCATCTGGGAGCAGGCGAGGTCTGCAGCCCTGAGGTCTCGGGGACCTGCCAGGAGACAACCCCCTGTTCTGCCCCAGCATATGCTTCTGTGAAGGACCTGCAGCCTGGGGAGAGCATGGAGCTGGACCCTCAGGTGAGACCCCTACTCCTGTCCAGGCCACCAAGGACCTTCTGTTTCGCAGTTTAATCCAGTTGACCCTTCCCTGTCCCACCTCATCAGTTTCTCAGCAGCATCCACACTGACCTCCCCTCTGGGCCCCCAGGTCATCCTGCTGTGACTCACTCCTCCTGGTTTCCTTGTGACCCCATAGTCCCTCCTATGGGACCCCCTTCGCTGGCCCCTCGTTCCCTGTCTGACCTTGTGCAGCCCCAGGTCTCAGGAGGAGACAGGAATAAGCGACTCACCCACAAGTCCCTACTATCCCTTCATTCATTCACCCAGCAGATGTGAGGGGCTCACTGTTTACCGGCTCCATTTAGGGGCCAAGGTGCAGCCCTCAGCTCACCTGTGGGCAAGGGAGACAATATGCAAACAAGCAGACAGTGTCCCAGAGAGCAAAGTGCTGTGAAGGAATATAAAGCAAGAGGAGGGGATAGAGTGCAAGGTGGGGGAGGGAGGGCAGGGAAAGAGCTGAAGCAGAGGTCCTGAGGCAGGGCCTGCTTCTTCAGGAGGAGAGGCCATGAGGCTGGAGCCCAGTGAGTGAGACAGAGCATGTTAGGATGAGAGTCAGAACCGCAGAAGCATCCAGAGGCCCCGAGGCTTAGGAAACCCCTGCAGATTCCATCAGGAGAGGGACCTGGTCTATTTTAAGTGTAAGTCATCTCTCTGGCAACATGAGGATGATTGACAGGAGGATTTCTACTGTGGAATCAAGGAGACACTGTTCTGTCTCACTGTCTCCTTCAGACCAGGCAGAATGCCGGCCGACAGGAAGTGATGTATACCCAGGTGAACTACTTAAGACCAAGACCCAGGCTGGGCATGGCTACCTCTCCTTCCTCCCCTTAGGTGGGGTGGCTGGACCAGAAGGGCAGACAAGCAGAGAGGACACTCAGCTGAGTCCCATCCTCCCCAGGCCCTGAGGCTTGTCAAACCCTAACCAAGTGTCATCCATCTCTCTCCCTGCTCCAGGCTGCTCCACCCTATGGCCTCCAGGATGTGACCTACGTCCAGCTGAACCTCTTGGCCCTTAGACAGCAGACAAGTGCATCCCTTTCCTCGTCATCAGAGGAGCCCCCAGAAGAGCCCAGCTTGTACGCTGCTCTAGCCTTCCACTAGCTCAGGAAGGATCCAGACCTTACAGTCCAGGGAGGGGGCTTGAAGGGACCCCAGAAGGCATGGGTACTTCCCCCATGGACACTCAGCTGGTGACCCCAGCCAGCCTGGAGACCAGATGTGGACCCCCAGCAGCTCCTGGGACCCTCTGAGAGTCACCTGGTTCTATAGTCAAAGAAAACCAAGTCCTAGCAGTTTGGCTGAATGGATAGAACATCGTTCTGCAGACAAAGCTCCCAGCTTTGATTCGGGGCAAGGGCACATGCCTGGGTTATTGGCTCAATCCCCAGTAAGGGCTTGGAAGAGGCAGCAGATCAATGATTCTCTTTCATCATTTATGTTACAATAGCTCTCTCCCTTTCCTTTCCTCTCTGATAAAAATGAAAAAAGAAAAGAAAAAGAAAAAAAGATAACCAATATCCCTCCATTCTGGAAATAAAGCAACAGAGTTTCCATAATCAAACGTAAGTGCATGTTTTAGATTAAATAACCATCTAAATACTTCACAACAGGCCTACGAAATGAAGAAATTAAAAACCATGAATCAATACATTAGAAAATAAAAAAAAACTTTAAAGATTAATGTTCTAAGCTGTTATATCAAGAATTGAAGGCCTGTGGTGGGGCTGGATGGAGGGGGTATGTGAGGGACAGATAGGGGATATCTCATACTGCCATCAATGGCACATACACTGAAACAAAGAATTTAGAAACATGGTTTGCAATGAATCTTTAGCTCTGTAGACAACGGGATAAGAAAGAGGTGGCATGCATGAACAATGGAATAGAAATCAGAAAAAAAAAAGAATGAATCGCTGGTATTGAGACCACAGGGATGGACCTGGAGTGTATTATGCTGAGTGAAATAATTCAGACTGGGAAAGATTTCACTAGTACCTGGAATTTATTTATTTATTTTTGTTCCTGGAGTTTTTCAGATCACAGACCAAAGGGAATAAAAACAGACACGTAGCAACGAAGGACAAACTGATGATTGCCAGAGAGAAGGGGAGTAGGGATGGGTGAAAAGGAGAAGAGTAGACAGTCAATAATGCGAGGTAACTTGGTGGAACTAATATGATATTGTATACCCACAATACTTTCATAAAATATTTAATTAAAATCATTAGTGGACAAAAGAGAGGTGGGGGCATGAGTGGGGAAGGGTGGGGGATTGGAATGGAGTGTTGAGGACAAATATGTGATACCTTAATCAATAAAGACATTAAAAAAATAAACATAAAAATCATTAGTAAACTCTGCCAGAGTGGCTCGGTGGTTGAGCAGTGACCTATGAATCAGAAGGTCATGCCCAGGTTGTAGGCTTGGTCTCCCATGTGGGTCATGCGGGAGGCAGCTGCTCAGTGATTCTCTCTCATCATTGATATTTCTATCTCTCTGTATTTCTTCCTTCCTCTCTTAAATCAATAAAAATATATTAAATAATCATTAGTGAAATATCATTGCTGACATATACACACAAGGAACTGTTTGACATTGAAATTGGGTCTCCAAAGAACTGGTGGCCCAGAAAGAAACTCACTACAGACTGACTCATATGCCTCTCGGCATAACGATTATTGCTTGTCTCATTTTTTATTCTTATATTTTCAGTAGGACATGATCTCACTCATCTGGGGGAAATGGTGAACAACATAGACTGATGAACAAGAAGAGACCCAGAGACAAGGAGCCATGGGTCAGACTGTTGGACCTCAGAGGGAGGCTGGGGATGAAAGGGAGAGATCAACCAAAGGACTTATTTGCACACATATGAGCCTAACCAGTGGTCAAGGACAATAGGGGGGTAAGGGCATGAGTGGAGGGTAGTGGGGGATTGGAATGGGGTTGAAGACAAATATGTGATACCTTAATCAATAACGAAATAAATTAAAAAAAATGTGAGAGAAACATTTCAATTGGTTTTCTTCTATAGTCTCCGGATTGGGGGTCAAACCCGCAACCTGAGTATGTGCTCTGACTGGCAATCGAACCAGTAATCTTGTGATGTATGGATGACCCTCAGCCACCTGAGCCACTCTGACCGGGCCAATTCCTCCCTTAGTTATTTTTTGGGGGGTTGTTTTCTAATGTTTTAAAATATCTATACATGAAATTTACCATTTTTAGCTGTGCGACTTCATGGCATTAATTGCATTTGTTATATCATTTACATACTACCGCCATCACCATGAAGCATCAACTCCCCACTTCCTCTTTTTCCTGCTTCTGGTAACCTCTAACCCATTTTCTGCCTCTGTGGATTCGTCTCCTAACAACACCACGTTTCTCTTTCTGCTCGTGGCGCATTTTACGTAGCACAATGTCCTCAGGGTTCATCCATGCTATAGCATGTGTCAGAATGTCCCTTTAAAAGATAGATATCTTTTAATCAATTTCACAGGGGAAGGGAGAGGGAGAGAGAGAGAAAAACATCAACGATGAGAATCATTGATTGGCTGCTTCCTGCTTGCCCCCTCCTGAAGATTGAGCCCACAACCAGGGCATGTGCCTTTGCCTGGAATTGAATCCGGTGTCCTTTAGTCCCCAGGCTGACACTCTATCCAGTGAGCCACACTGGCTAGGGCCAGAATGTCCCTTTAAATGGCCAAATAAAATTCCATTAAATGAAGAGACCACGTTTTATCCAGTCATTCACGTCAGTGGGTATTTGTGCTGTTGCCACCTTTTGTCTATTATGACTATTACTGCTGTGAATACGGGGCCACTCTGTTTGAATCCCCACTTTCAATTCCTTTGGTTACAAATGTAGGAGTGCCATTGTTGGATCCCACGTTTAGCTTTTGAAGCAGTGAAGAGCTTGTTTGGGAACCAAACCACTTCCTTTATATATATTACTGAGGTAGAATTCACAACAAAACATTTTAAGCGCATGGGATCCCGTGGCCTTGAGGACATTTGCAATATGGAGCAACCATTACCTCCATCTCGTTCCATTTTGGTTCCCCGCAAGGAGATCCAGGAACATTAAGCAGTCACTCCCCACCCCACCCTCTTCTTGGCCCCTAGCAACCCCTTGTCTGCCATGAAGTTTGCTTGGGGTTTGGTTGCGATGGTAATTCTTGTCCACATGCAATTCTGCTTTACTTTATTTTATATTTTCTGTTCATTCTCATCTGAGGATATTTTTCCTTTTTTTTTTTTTTTTTAGAGAGAGTGGAAGAGAGAGGGAAAGACAGAGAGAAACACCGATGTGAGAGAAACACATCATCGATTGGTTGCCTCCTTCTCTAGCCCCGAACAGGGCCCGGGGCCAGGGAGGAGCCTGCAGCCAAGGTACCTGCCCTTCACCAGAAACGAATCCTTTGGTCCAGAGCCTGATGCTCTACCCACTGAACCAATCCTTGATAAAAAAGATGCCAAAATCCTCACTAAAATATTAACAAACCGGGTCCGGCAATGCATTAAAAAGTTCATACACCGTGATCAAGTGGGATTTACTCCAGGGATGTATGGTTGGTACAATATTCACAAATCAATAAATGTGATGCGTCCGTCACATAAACAAAATGAAGGATAGAAAAAACTCACGATCATATCAATAGGTGCAACAAACAAACAAACAAACAAACCAAAACACAAAAAAAAATCATTAAACTAAATCCAGCACCCATTTTCGATAAAAACTTTCAGCAAAGTGGGAATAGAGGGAACATACCTCACTACAATACAGGCCATATATGACAAACCTACAGCCAACTTCGTACTCAATAGGCAAACACTAAAACAACTTCCACTAAGAATAGGGAAAGGACAGGGATGTCTGTTTTCATCACTCTTACTCAACATTGTGCTGGAAGTCCTAGCCACCATGATCAGTCAAGAAGAAGAAAAAAAGGGACCCAAATTGGAAAGGAGGAAGTAAAACTCTCACTATTCACAGATGACATGATATTGCACACAGAAAACATTAAAGACTCCCACCAAAAATGTACTGGAATTAATAAATGAATTCAGCAAAGTAGCAGGATACAAAATTATCCAGAAATCAATGGCATTTTTATACACCAATAATGAGCGCTCTCTCTCTCTCTCTCTCTCTCTCTCTCTCTCTCTCTCTCTCTCTCTCTCAACTGAATTTTGACCCATAAACAAGAGATGATTTCAATAAAACAACAACAACAAAAAAGATCTTGTAGATTTTCTTTTCTTGTCAAAATGCAGAGTCAAACTGCCTTTTGGACTGGATGACAGAAGATGAAGATATTAGGCAAACACATACATGCATAGCCCATGGACACAGACAACAGTGTGGTGAAGGACAAGGGAAGGGCAGGCAGGGGTTGGGTAGAGGTGGGCAAAAAAGCAGAAAATGGGGACCATCTGTGACAGTGTCAAATATAAAAATTATTTAAAAAAAATCAACATGTGATTGTAGAGTTTAGAAAACTAAACATGTCAGATAGACAGGAGGCCTGTTCACGGATGTGGCTCAAGTCAGACACTCAAGCACCTGCTATTTTTGGATGATAAGAGTTGGTATCCTGTGTGACAGGCGTCTTGTGCTGTGTGGGTACCCTGCCCATAACATCCTGTGAACTTGTCTGACGAGTGTCACTTTAACACCTGAAAAATAAGTCATTGAAGACTCTGCTGTAAAAATATCCACTGGGCCCTAGCTGGTGTGGCTCAGTGGATACAGCGTCAGCCTGTGGATTGAAGGGTCTCAGGTCCCATTCTGGTCAAGGGCACCTGCCCGGGTCTTGGGTTCCATCCCCATTAGGGGACATGCAAGAGGCAGCCAATCAAAGATTCTCTCTCATTATTGATCTTTCTATCTCTCTCTCCCTCTTCCTTCCTCTCTGAAATCAATAAAAATATATTAGAGCAATATCTTCCACTGGGATTTCATGCCATTTCCTGATGGGTGAACAGCACCAACCTGATCCTGCAAAGAAAATTCAAGGTTGTCATCATGAATCCACAAGTCAGGACAGCTCACCTTTTTCTTTCTTCAATATTTCTATTTCTATTTCTATTTC